ATACATCACAAATCACTGAGAAAGACCTGAAAGAAGAACTAATGCAAACTAGGAAGAAAGATTAAGAAGCTAGAGTATCCAAGAACAAAATCAAGAAGCCCAACTAATCCCAATAGAAGAAATTAATAAAGAGCCAGTTCTAGTTCAACCCTAACAAGAAAAAGAAAATTGTTTGAAAAGGCAAAAAGATTTTTTAGTTGTAGATACTGCTCTCTAGTATAATATTACTAAAGACCTTTTAAATCAAAGAGCAAATTCTATTTATGCTCAAATACTTCAAATTCTGAAGCAAAGATGTAATTTGGCCTAAGTGTTATGATGCTCACTTATTTTGACCTCAGAAGAAACTAACTTAGCAAAACTCTTACTTAATATTAGAATAATAGCTACCAAAAGTTATGTTAAAATTAAAAATAACTCTATATTAGCAGTTTTAGATTCAGGTACTGTCATCAGTATTTTGTCTAAGAAATTAATAAATAAACTAGGTCTCACTATTCAAGAACCCTCAACTGCCACCATGTTAATAGCTAATAGAAATAAAGAAAGGGCATTAGAAAAAATATCTAATATTAAACTAAATATTGGAAGTATCATAATACCTACTAATTTCTAAGTAATAGACTCATCTGATAAAACTATGTTGTTAGAAATTAACTGGTTTCAAAAAGTCTGAGCTTGACTACATTTTGACGAGAGGAAATTGTTCTTCAGATATTTAGAGAAAAATACCAAAATTCCTATAATTCAAAGTAGAGAAAACAAGTTAGAAATTCCTGAAGAGTTGTATAGTAATGATGAGAATAACTTTTTCAATACATACAAAGAAGATGATAGTGAAGAAGTAGAAGATTACTGTATAGAAGAAACTATATCTGATGAAGAAGAATTATATACAAACCTATAGGAAGACGAATATAGTCTGGTGATTTATCTAACTGCTATAGAAGAATTACTTACTATTGAAGAAGATAATTAGCTTGAACAAATTTCTAAAGAAATAATTAAATAATTAGTAAAAGTTAAAACTCTAGAAGAGCAATAACAAAAGGAAGCTACACAAATAATAAAAAGATTTAATAGTTTATTTGCTATGAGAATAGACCAATTAGAACAATCTCTTGAAATCCAACATGAAATAGACATTGGTGATACAAGACCTATTAAACAATCACCATATAGGATTACACTAGATGAGCAAGAATTCTTGAATAAAGAAATCAAAAAGATATTAAAAAATAACTTAATCAAAGAAATAAAAAGCTCATGGACCTCACCTGTAGTAATAGTTCCTAAGAAAAATAGAAAACTATGACTCTGCATTGACTACTGGAAACTTAACTCGGTTACAAAAAAGGACTCTTACTCATTATCTCGAATCGATAATTTACTCAAAACCTTTGGGAAAGCTAACTAGTTTTTAAGTCTAGATTTAGCTAGTAGCTATTAGTAAATACTAGTAAGAAAGAAAGATTAAGAAAAAACAGTATTCATAACCAGGCAAGAGGTCTATGCTTTTAAAGTAATACCCTTTGATCTATGTAATGCTCTAGTTATATTCCAAAGGACTATAAACTATATTATGTACGAATATAATAACAAATTCATTACTATGTACTTAGATAATATTATTATCTATTCCAAAACTTACCTTGAACATCTTAACTACTTCCAAAAAGTCCTCATTAAATTAAAACAGCTAAATTAAAACTAAATTCTGAAAAATGTAAACTTTTTAAAAATAACCTCCAATTTCTAGGCTATGTAATAGAAAAGGATAGTATCAAATCTGATTCGAAAAGATAGTAAAGATCCAAAAATTCTTAATATCAGCTAATCTAAGGCAATTAAGAGGCTTTATCGAGTTGGCCTCTTACTACTGATATTTTATAAAGAACTTCTCAACTATTGCCAAACCTCTACATAATTTATTAGAGAAAGGTATAAGATACGAATAGAGACAAGCATAAGAACAGGTATTTAAAATATTAAAGACCTATTTTATTATAGTACCTATCCTAAGATATCTAGATTTTGATAAGATTTTCTATCTTTATACAAACATATTCAGAGTTGGCCTTGTTACTGTGTTAGTTCATAAAGGAGAAAACAAAAAAGAGTATATAATAGCATATACAAGTAAGAGTTTAACCTACTCAGAAAGAAACTAATCTATGACAGAATTGGAGTACTACATAGGATTTAGGCTGTAGAATACTTCTACTATTATTTGGGATTTAAACTATTCATGGTGATAACAGATTATGCTACCTTAAAGTGGTTGCAGACAATGATACTAAAAGGAAGGAGAATCTATTAGGTTTTATATCTCTAGCTCTATAATTTCACTATAATGCATAGAACTGGATAAAAGTATAACAATGCAAACTCATTATTAAGTATGATAGAAGAAGAACCTAAAAACTCACTACTACAAAGTCATAAAGAAGCTTTAGAAGTCTATGTCATGAATCTGGTTAAAGAAGTAGAAATATTTTAAACTCAAATTGAAAATAATCTACTCAGAAGTCCAAAAATAAAGAATAAAACTAGATAAATTGAATAGAGTGGCCACTAGAGTCAGAAAGTAAAAAAGAAGAAGTGATCATTACTAAAGAAGAACAAGAAAAACTATACAATAAAGAATCTCAGACTAAAAATGAAAGAAAAAATCAATTAGATAAAAGATATAAATTGAATAAAATAAAGATTGTAGATAAGAATTTGGCTGAAGTAACAAATGAAGACAAGATGAATTGGTTCTTGAATAGCACCAATTCTAATGATATTGATAAGGGATTCTATCAAATAAGGAAAATTCTAATGAATTTGAAACTTGGAATACACTGGAAGAGGAACAAGAAGTATTTCACATAAATATTAAATACTACATTCTGGAAGAAAGTGAAGAAGATGAGGAGTATGATATAGAGAGAAGAATCATCAACTATGAAAGTGATGATAGGTAGAACACAACTATATGACAGAATTCTATGAAGAAGAAATTAATAAAGAAAAAAACAGACAAGAATCCTAGTCTGCCTTAAGAGAAGAGGAACTTACCCAATACTAGTATAAGGCCTGATACTATCAACTTTTATAGAACCTAGTACTTGAGTCAGAAAAAGAGTTAATCTAAGTACGACAAAATGGATATGAAGAAAAATATTACCTGTTAGATGATGAAGATAAAGGAAATGAAGTTTACCTTGTTGATAAAAATATTGAAGGTTTCGAACTTGAGTTAGACTAAGAATACAAAAGTTCAATATATAATGATTCTGAAAATGATGATTATTATAATAAAGATAGTTACTTCAATAGGATACAAGATAGTTTAGATGCTAACAAAGCCTGGTAAGATATGAATAACTATTAAAAATAAAAGGATTAAAAAAAAAAAATAAAATAAAATAAATAAAAAAAAAAAAGAAGTAAAGAATATGACAAAAACTAGTTGGTTATGACTGTAGAAGAAGTAAAGAATATGACAAAAACTAGTTGATTATGACTGTAATATGCAAGGAGGAGCATATTAAGAGAAAACTTGAATGAAAGAAACAATGATTAACTAAAGAAAAAATAAATAATTAAGATTAATCACGAAATCAAAAGAGAAGAAAACTGCTATTTATAAATCTGAAGAACAAAATTCAACTCAGATACTAGTGTCTTGACAAAAATAGAAAAATAGAATCACAACAATATGAAATATTAAAAAATTTTATTAGATATAGGCAAATTCCCTTCTATTATAACAATGATCAATGAAAGAGTCTGGAAAAGCAAAGTAGATTTTTTATAGTAAAGAATAGAGTACTATACAAAAAGTATGGAAGGAAACAAAACTACCTACTAAAAGTTCTAAGAAAAGACGAACTCAACCTGATACTTATACTAGTACATAATTATTTTCTTGAAGCTTATTTTGGAAAAGATATTATGTTCAACAAAATTCATAATTACTATTATTAGCCTTAGATGTATCATAATATATGTGAATATATTAGAACTTGTGAGAATTGCTAAAAGCAAAGAGATCAAAAGTCAAAAGAGGTATTACACTCTATACCTGTTATAGCTCCATTTCATAGAATAGATATAGACATAATAAGCCCTTTACTCATAATTCCCTAATCCAATAAATATATTATAGTAGCAACTGACTACATGACCAAATAGCCTGAAGCATGTACAATTCTCAAGGACAATGCAGAAAAAGTAGTGAAGTTCGTCTATAAAAAAATAGTTTGTAAACACAAATACTTAAGATACATACTTTCTGATAGAGGATTCTATTTTAGAAATAGATTAATTGATGAATTGCTTGCAGCTTTGAGCATTAAACACCAATACTCAACTTCACACTACCCTCAGACAAACAGACTTGTAGAACAATTTAATAAAACATTATGCCATTCTATAGACAGGATAGTAACTAATATGACAAACTAGGATCTCATAATACAGCCTATACTATTTATATATAAAACTGCAAAACAAGCCTCTACATAACAAATGCCATTTCATTTAGTATACAGGAGAGAAGCAAGATTACTAATATATCCAAGTGAATCAGACAATTTATTGAATGAAACCATCATTCAATGGATATATGAAATTGACCATGATCTACCAAATATATGCAGCTAAGCTCTGATACAAATCCAGACAAATCAAAGAAAACAAAAAAAAAAAAAGATCTACAGATCAAAGCCACATCCAATTTCCACATAAGAGACAAGGTCCTGGTGTATAACTCCAAAATAATAAGTACACGTAGTCACAAGTTTCTACCAAAATAGAAAGGTCTATATTATATTCATGCTATCTTCATGAATGGCGCATATAAGTTATGAGAATTAGATGGAAGAGTGCTTGCAATACCTATTAATAAGAAATTGATAAAACTGTATAATAAAAGAAATATATAAAGAGGAGAAATTCCGAGAAAACAACAAATTCAAATTCAAATTCAAAAAAAAAAAAAAAATGTCTACCACTGAAGAACTCATTCGAGAAGACCTCTTGTCAAGTACACCACTTTTTGTGCTCCCTATTCCATGCCCTTATAATTCAGACCAAGACATTACCACCCAATTATTCCTCGCCCACGATCAAATGAAAAGAGCTAAAGAAACTAGAAGGAAAGCCGATGCCCTTGCTCATGCCTATTATTTTGGGGCCAGATATCATCTAATGACCACAGAAGAAAAGGCTTCTCAACGAGGAAAATACACTGCCTACTTTGTAAAATCCGCCACCCGAATCTACCACTTGTTCAAATCCCTTGACGTAGAGCAACTCTATCGCACCAAACACATAACCCTCCCTATGATCGCCACGTTAAGAAATGAAGAATTTTACCGCTTAGTGCAAAATTTACCTGTGGAACGTACTTTTTCTGGAGGGGAAGAAACTGTGAGGGGCGAAATTGCCAACCTCGATACTGCGCCCAGTTCGGAAGGTGATCGTCAAAATTTTCGAAATTTCGAAAATTT